GGGCAGTGGCAGTGAGAATAGAGAGGCGAAGTCGGGATTAACAGGGACTTGGAAGAGGAGTGGAAAGCTCCTGGTGACCATCTGAATGTGGGGACAGGGATGACAATGCTCTAACACAAAGTAAAAACAGGAAGAGCAGCAAGTTTGGGGAGAAAGATAACGAGTTCAGTGCTGTAAGTACTAAGTTTGGGGTATCTGCAGGAAGGATGTCAAGTAGGGAGTTTAAATCATATTTCTGGAGGGCAAGATAGACCCATTCAGGATGGTGGGGAGAAGTGACATTAGAGAAAAATGGGAAGGCAGCACTTTAAAAAACAATTATCCACAAAGTCTGTCTGGTCCTGTGAAATATAAACAGAATTGGACAGCTATTGCCCCCTAAACCTCTCTACACCAGGAAAACTGGTTGGCCCATTGTACCTTAATGTGCCTCGTGTGCTCACCGTGTGTCTTTTCTTTCTTCCATTTAACTTACATTCATTAAGCATCTGCTATGTGCCAGGTACTCTTCTAGATTGGGGGGATACAGATGTGAAAAAGCCTAAATACTTCCATCAGAGAATTTATATTTTTGTGCAGGAGGCATTCAATAAGCAAGTAACCAAATAAACATAAAATACAACTTCAAGTAAATAAATGCAACAAGAAAAACAAAGTAGGAAAGAGACTAGAAGGTTACTGAGGTGGGGAAGGAGAACTATTAACAATGGGTCTTGTTTATTTCTCCGTATTTTTTATTCTTATTTGAAAGGCAGAGAGACAGAAAGAGACAGACACAGACAGATCTTCCATCCATTGGTTCACTTTCCAAATACCTGAAACTGCTGGGGCTGGGACAAGCCAAAGCCAGGAAACAAGAACTCAGTCCCTGTCTCCCACCTGGGTAGCAGGAACTCAACCACTTGAGTCACCACCTGCTGCCACCAGGGTGTGCATTATCAGGAAACTAGAGTTGGAAGCAGAGCCTGGACTTGAGCCCAGACCTTCTGATCTGAGATGTGGGCCCCTCCAGGTCAAACACCTACCCCAAAGGGAAAAGAACTTTGAAATTAAGTGGTTGTGGTCAGGGAAGGCATCTTTGAAGAAGTGACAAGTGGGATGTACATCTAAAGTGACAGAGTCATGTGAAAATTTGCTGGTGGGAAGTACAAGTACAAAGACTCTAGGATGGGAATTAGCTTCATAGAATTGAGAAACAGCTAGCGGGCCAGCGCTGTGGCATAGTGGGTAAATCCTCCACCTGCAGTGCTGGCATCTTATATGGGTGCCAGTTCAAGTCCTGGCTGCTCCACTTTGGATCCAGCTCCTTGCTAATAAGCCTGAAAAAGCAGTAGAAGAGGGCTCAAGTACCCATGTACCTCTGTGGGAGACCTGGATGAAGTTCCTGGCTCCCGGCTTAGGCCGGGTCCATCCTTGACCTTTTGGCCCATTTGGGGAGGGAACCAGTGGATGGAAGATTCCCTCTCTCTCTCTCTCTCTCGCTCTCTCTCTCCCTCCCTTTCTCTCCCTCCTTCTCTCTCTGTCTTTCTGGCTTAGAAATAAATTAATAGATGTTTAAAAAGCAAAAGGAGAGAGAGGGAGAAACAGCTAGGTGGCCAGCTTGGCCAGAACCCACATTTAGTGATCTAGTTCTACTAATATTGTGGTCAGTAGGAAACCTAAACTATGCCTAGAGCAACATAGAAAGACCAAGTATCAAGATCTATGCTTGCTATTTGTCAACCCTTTGGTTTTACTTAGGCTGTAATATTCAAGATTGAAATGTAAGGAAAGCCTACACATGTTCAGAGAAGCTGTTGGCTTCCCCACAGTTCTGAGCTTAAACATTATGCTAATATTATTATTATCCCACAAGGGTGTCTTGAGGATTAATGAGACATTTTCAAATCACTTTGAGCTACTCCACTGGGGGTACTAAATAAATGGTATGTATTCCCCTGAAGTGCCATTTTTGACACTGATTTGTTGTGATGGGTTCTGCTGTCCAACAGGGCTGGAATGTGCCCACCAACTCATTTCCTATAGACAATCGACTATCCATCAGAAGGCAGTGGTTTCCAGCTAAAATAAATATGAATTTAAGCGAACTAGTCAGCAATCAGAAGCAAATAGGCTGCTGTTAGAAATTGAGCATTTATTAAGTACTCACAGTGATCAGCATAAGAGTTTCACAGTGTGATACAGTAGAGCAAGCAGTGGACTTGGAAATGATCCAAGATTTTAGGCCCTGCTCTACCACTAACTAGCGATGTGAGTTTGAACAAATCACTAAACTTGTCTGGGCCTCAAATATAAAGGGCTGTCCTGTGCGGTTCATAACCAGAGTCTTCCAGACGAGGTGAATACATGAAAGGATTGGAAATAGTCATCTTTGAAGAAGAGAGATTCATCGCAGGGAAAGGCTTGTGACCATCCATCACAGGACCGTCATCTGCTCTGATCTTCCTTGCCATTGATTAATATTAATCTCCGTACTAATTCCTGCATGAGGAAGAATAAATCACTCTCTAAGCCAGACATAGAAGTTCATGAAACATTTGGTCTTTAAAAATAGGGTCTTTGTATTTCCTTTATATGAGCTTTCCTTTGCAGCAAGCAGTCTGTCTCATTCTTAAATTTAAATATATGATTGATTATACTGTTACTCTAATCATCAACTTAAGAAAATAATGAGGGGACGGTCACACAAAACAGCGTTCTGGAATTTTGTAAGAGAGCGTGTTTTACAAGAAATCATATTGTGCAACATGACCCCCTCACATGTTACTGCTTGCAAAGCTGCATACCGACCAGCCATGGAAGATGAAGGGACAGTAAAGAATACGGGCTTGTCCTGAGCAGCCAGGTGCAGTAACCCTGTGGAATAACTGAGCAACATTCAGTACTGTAAGTTCAGTTTCCCCTCACTCTTCATCCCAGGAAATGCAGTAGGGGTCTGGGCTCAAAAAGAAAGGTTGACACCAAGAGCTGACAGAAACACAACAAAAACTCTCTGGGGAATTCAGTTCCACAAACACATACTGAGTTCCCACTATCTACAAGACATTTGGTATTTGCTAGGAATACAAATTAGGTAAGATCTAGTCTCTGCCTAGAGAGCCCATGTTTGGGAGTGGTAATGGGTAACTAATGGCCACAAGTCGCTCATCAAATCGTCAACCAACTTCAGACTATGAGGATCTTCCTAATAGTTTCTCTTCCATAAATGTCTTGAATGATACAAAGGAACACGATTTTTTTAATAAAATATTTTATTATTTATTTATTTATTTCAAAGGTAGAGTGACAGAGAGGTAGGGAGAATCAGAGGGCGGGGGCAGGGGGGGTGGGATGAGGGGAGGAGATCTTCCATCTGCTGCCTCATTCCCCAAATAACCACAACAGCCAGGTCTGGGCCAGGCCAAAGCTAGGGGCCAGGAATTCCATCCTGATCTCCCACCCTCACGGGTGACAGTGATCCAAGTATTTGGGTCATCTTCCACTGCCTTCCAGGCGCATTAATAGGAAGCTGAATTAGAAGAACAGACAGATGGAAAGCCAAGACACCCTGGGGAAAAAAAAGAAGAAGAAGAAGAAGAAGACCTAAATGGAAGATCTCTGTGAGTGAGATCCCAGTGGAAAGAACGGAGCCATCAAAGAAGGAAGTACCTTTCTCTGAAGGCAGGAGAGAACTTCCACTTTGACTGTGACCCTGTCGGAATAAGATCGAAGTCGGCGAACTCAAAAGGCTTCCATAGCCTTGGCAACTCATGACTAGAGCCTAGGGAGATTACTGACGCCATAAACAAGAGTGTCAAATTGTTAAGTCAACAACAGGAATCACTGTGTACTTACTTCTCATGTGGGATCTGTCCTTAATGTGTTGTCCAATGTGAAGTAATGCCATAACTAGTACTGAAACAGTATTTTACACTTTATGTTCTGTGTGGGTGCAAACTGATGAAATCTTTACTTAATATATACTAAATCAATCTTCTGTATATAAAGATAATTGAAAATGAATCTTAATGTGAATGGAATGGGAGAGGGAGCGGGAGATGGGAGGGATGTGAGTCGGTGGGAAATTACGGGGGGAAGCCATTGTAATCCATTAACTGTACTTTGAAAATTTATATTTACTAAATAAAAAAATAATATATTGGCCAGTAAAAAAAAAGAAGAAGAAGAAGAAGAAGAAGACGAAGAACAGCCAGGACACAGTCAGGGATGCCACAACTTAACCTGTTATGCCACAACGCAGATCCCAAATTTCTTTTTTAAGCCTAGGGTTGACATACTGGAATAGTTAAAATTTCTGGAAACAGAAATTGTGTTCGAAGTGACCACAATTTGGAGAAATAGTTTTCGCTCAAAGAGGATAAGCAACAATTACCTCTGAGCCCATATCAAGCAGTAGGAGGAGAAACAGAACGTGGAACTAGCATGTGGAACCAGCATATTAAGTGGAGTCCAGGGAGGAGGCCCTGCTCCCATCCCTCCCAAGACAGACGTAAGTCAGGGGGTCCAATTTTTTTTAAGATTTATTTAATTAATTTGAAAGAGAGAGAGAGAAGAATATCTGCTGGTTCACTCCCCAAATGTGGGCAACAGCCAGGGCAGGAAGTGGGTGGCAGGAACCCAAGCACCTGAGCCATCACCCGCTGGATGCCAGGATGCCCATCAGCAGGAAGCTGGGACTGGAGGCGATTGGACTTGAACCAGGCACTCCTATGAGGAATGCAGGCGGCTCAGCGCAACAACGTCGACCCCAGGAGGTTGAACTTTCTAACTAGCATTGGCCACGTTTCCCACTTTTCCTCCTTTTTTCTCATGGACAGGAAACAGGGTCCTGTAAAGACCAGGCTGCCCTTGCTAATCCCAGCCAGAAACGGTCCTCCGTGAAGTGCTCGCTACAGAATCCAGGTCCCTGAACGCCTGTAATGACCCATTGCTTTCAGAGTCCGGTTGCGGAAGCCATCAGCACCCATTCCTCCATTCGGCTTAGCCAGGCCCGAGCTACATTATTGAGAACATCTCCGGCCCAGGGCTGGGCGGTCCACCACTCCCAAGTGAGCCCAGGACACTGGCCCCGGCCTCCCCGCCTGCCTAGGGAGCCCGCCCGGCCCTGCCATTCCCCCCCTCGACAAGGCTCGGGGACGTGCACCAGGCGCCCCCTCCTCATCCTCCCTCCCCGCCCGCCTCCGCGTTCGGAGGTCCAGAAGCCCCGCAACGTGAGACCAGACCTGGGGGGAGGGGGCCGCTGACGAGAAGCGGGCTGAACTCAGGGGGCCGGATTCCCAGAGGGTCAGCTCGGCTGGCCAGAGAGGTTCAAGGGCCAGGGCGCTCCGAGGTGCAAAATGAGGGCGTTCGTGTGCTACGGACCGGGGTGGAGGGCAGGGGCCAGCTGCAGGCCCGGCGCTCGCCCGGGGAGCGGGGCGCGCGCCCGCGCGGTGGGCGGGAATCCTGAGGGGACGCGGAGGGCGGGCGCGCGCCCCGCGGGGGGCGAGGGCGGCGGGGAGCGAGGAGGAGGCGTGGGGAGGCGTCTGTGTTGCCGGAGCCGCACCAGCCGCGCCAGAGCCAGACTGAGCCTCGCGGCGGCTGCAGCAACAGGCGGCGGGCTCGGCTCCGGACGGAGGCGGCCGAGGGGCGGGGAGCGCGAGGAGGAGCGGCTCGGCCCCACCGCCGCCGCCTCTTCGCCGCCGCATGGACGAGCACCTCAGCCTCCTGCGCTCGCCGCCGCAGACCTCCGCCCGCCACCGCGCCCACCCTCCCCAGGACCCCGCGAGCCGCGGCGGCGGCGGCAGCGGTAGCGGCGCCCACACCCTGGTGAACCCCGGCTACGCCGAGCCCGCCGCAGACCCCGAGCTGCCTCCCGACATGACGGTGGTGCCCGGGGACCACCTGCTGGAGCCCGAGGCGGCCGACGGCGGAGGGGGCCCGCCTCAGGGCGGCGGCGGCGGCGGTGGCTGTGACCGCTACGAGCCGCTGCCGGCCGCCGGGGAGCAGGAGTGCTGCGGGGAGCGCGTGGTCATCAACATCTCGGGGCTGCGCTTCGAGACGCAGCTCAAGACCCTCTGCCAGTTCCCAGAGACGCTTCTGGGCGACCCCAAGCGGCGCATGCGGTACTTCGACCCGCTCCGCAACGAGTACTTCTTCGACCGCAACCGGCCCAGCTTCGACGCCATCCTCTACTACTATCAGTCCGGGGGCCGCATCCGCCGGCCGGTCAACGTGCCCATCGACATCTTCTCCGAGGAGATCCGCTTCTACCAGCTGGGCGAGGAGGCCATGGAGAAGTTCCGCGAGGACGAGGGCTTCCTGCGGGAGGAGGAGCGGCCGCTGCCCCGCCGCGACTTCCAGCGCCAGGTGTGGCTGCTCTTCGAGTACCCTGAGAGCTCCGGGCCGGCCCGGGGCATCGCCATCGTGTCCGTGCTCGTCATCCTCATCTCCATCGTCATCTTCTGCCTGGAGACGCTGCCCGAGTTTCGCGATGAGAAGGACTACCCGGCCGCGCCGTCGCAGGATGTGGTGGAGGCGGCCGGCAACGGCACGTCGGGGGCCCCCGCCGGAGCCTCCAGCTTCTCCGACCCCTTCTTCGTGGTGGAGACCCTGTGCATCATCTGGTTCTCCTTCGAGCTGCTCGTGCGCTTCTTCGCTTGTCCCAGCAAAGCCACCTTCTCGCGAAACATCATGAACCTGATCGACATCGTGGCCATCATTCCCTACTTCATCACCCTGGGCACCGAGCTGGCCGAGCGACAGGGCAACGGACAGCAGGCCATGTCCCTGGCCATCCTGAGGGTCATCCGCCTGGTGAGGGTCTTCCGCATCTTCAAGCTGTCCCGTCACTCCAAGGGGCTGCAGATCCTGGGGCAGACGCTGAAGGCTTCCATGCGGGAGTTGGGGCTGCTCATCTTCTTCCTCTTCATTGGGGTCATCCTCTTCTCCAGCGCCGTCTACTTTGCCGAGGCGGACGACCCCACTTCGGGCTTTAGCAGTATCCCGGATGCCTTCTGGTGGGCAGTGGTGACCATGACAACAGTCGGCTACGGCGATATGCACCCTGTGACCATAGGGGGCAAGATTGTGGGCTCTCTGTGTGCCATCGCCGGGGTTTTGACCATTGCATTGCCCGTTCCTGTGATTGTTTCCAACTTCAATTACTTCTACCACCGGGAGACCGAAGGGGAAGAGCAAGCCCAGTACATGCACGTGGGAAGTTGCCAGCACCTCTCCTCTTCAGCCGAGGAGCTCCGAAAAGCAAGGAGTAACTCGACTCTGAGTAAGTCGGAGTACATGGTGATCGAAGAGGGGGGTATGAACCATAGTGCTTTCCCCCAGACCCCTTTCAAAACGGGCAACTCCACTGCCACTTGCACCACGAACAATAACCCCAACTCCTGTGTCAACATCAAAAAGATATTCACCGATGTTTAATAATTGACACGAGTGCTCAGTACTGTGTGGAACGTGCCCCCTTGGTCTGTGTATGCCCTTGTTTTATACATTTCCAGACCATCCATCAAGGACAGGACGTGAAGAAGTGGGAAGCACATTCCATTCTCCCTCTCCCTATTGCTTCATACTGAAACAGGTGCCTGTTTTGCAAGTGGGCTGCATTCTCTCGGCTCTTTTTTTCCTCTCCCTCTCTCTTAATTTTCTGAACAACAAACTTAACATTGCACTTGATTTCTAGGACACGCCCTATTTAAAAAAAAAAAAAAGTACATCCTGGGAGGAAATGAAACTACAGAACAGTTAGAACTGTTTAACCTCAAAATTGAAAGGTAATTATTTCTTTACTAAGTAAAGCCGGTAAATGCTTACAGGATGCTTCAGTTTGATGGACTCTTAGACATTACCTATTAACTATGTAGTTCAGTTGCCTACTCTTTGGATATGTGGATGGAAAATAGAACTAAAACAGTGACTTGAAACCCCACCAGAAGTTTAGTTGGTTTTGGACTGGAATTTCTGTTTGAGTTCCTCCTCCCAGAACTTTAAGGGTTCCTACAACTTTGAACAAAGGGAAATGCCCAGAATGTTCTGATCTGACTAATATGTTTAACTCTTTGGGACTTACAAAGCATTTCGAAAGTATTAAACTAACAGATTCTTCTGAAGTTCTGTGCATATGCCCCAGCCAACATCTATCAAAGTCTAGAAACAGATGTTTTCAGTGCTGCTGAGAGAAACAAAGAATTTCCTAATGCATTTGAGAGATAAGCTTCTGCAGTATCACCAGAAGATTAAAGTGGCAGACACCCCTTCCAGCGGAAGTTACTAATTCGGACCTGACTGATGCAGTTCCCATAGCAACCTATGTTTCCTGGGAAACCCGAAAAAGGTTGTCATGGTATCTCTTGCTCTCTAGCCCCACCCCCTAGCCCCTGCCGTTTCCACAGTAACCTTTCCAGATGGTTCCTACTCACATGATTTCATAAGGAAAAACAGTGTTTGAATAAACCGCACAAATAAAGTTAAGTCTGAGAGTCTAAGGAGGGGACTGAATCGTGGAATGCATTTTTATCACTGTGAAAATCATTGATGTCACCCCATAATGACTGAATCAAAAAGGAAAATGTCACCATTGGAACACTGGATATAAACCACAATAAGACATTGTTTGAATTAAATGCCAATTATTGGACAATAATGTTAAAATATGCTTCTCTACAGTTGTCTTTCTCCAAGAAGTTTCAAGCCAACAAATGAAATTAAGCAAATATTAAAGTGTTCTGTACATAAGCAAATAAGAGATTCAATCAGTGTACCTGAAACCTTACAAGAGACCTTCAGACTTCCTCTTTAATAAAAAAGAAAAAACTCCAGATTCCATAACAGGACTGTCAACCATCACAGCACTTGGAAAGCTAAATAAACTTCAAATACATGAAGGATGCACATTTTTAACTGAGGGAATTACAGACTTCAATAAAAAGGAGGGATGGGAAGTAACCAGTTCTTAGGGGACCACCTGCGAGTTTCAGCCATATGCCAAGGGTTGCCGGAAGACACACAGAATCAGGTGAGCATTAACGAGAGCAATCCTCTTTTGTACAGGAAACCAGGGAAATGCCATTCATGTCCAGATTGATATTTTTAAAACTGACAGTTTTATATAAATTACCTGTTGCCAGGTGCCTTTTTAAAGAACATTCACATCACCTTTCCCATTTGATTTCCATGTTGCTGTCCTTTCTTTCCATGGTTTATTGTAAAAGGATGAAAAAAAGTCATCACTTTCCAAAATAATCATCACCCAAGCTGAACTGAAAATTATTCCATTCCATCCTAGCCCTCTTGGCTTCTAAACAATCTGTTTCTCCTTTAAAAAGGACAAAAGGCAAAACCTACTGAAGTTAAATTATTGATCTAATTTTTAATTTATGTAATTATTTAGTGTATACGGTAGTACTGTTTGAAACAAAAGTGGCTAAAACTGAAATAATGATAACTGCATTTAACATAATCATTTTGTTTAATTTACATTATATAAATTTTACATTTTGTACAATTTTTATTTTGATAGCATTTTACTGTTTTGTCCTAGAGTGACAGTAAGCCTATGTTTAAAGCTTACAATATATTTTCAAGTAGTCAGAGCCTATGTACTTAATTATTTGTACTTAATTATTGGAATGGAAAATGATGATTGAGACTATAAAAGGGAAGAGAAGGGAAAAAGAAAAAAAATGGACGCAAGAAATCTGTGTACACCTGGTCACAGGGTTATTATTCTTACCTATTTGTATATAAACAGGACTCCTTTTTCTAGCTTCCTTTGCTGGATAAAATAAAAATTTAAGATACCTTTAGCATTGATTTACTTTCAACCAAACGTTTGATATTCTTGTGATCCATTATTGTAATATGTTAGGCACACTGTAGCAATTACATAAAATAACATTTGTGTCTATTCTTAAAGGTGAACAAAGTACATTGACGGTTTTATTCACATTTATTCAGAAAATGTGAAAACCTTAATTCTATAGGTAAATTATAGCTATGATGTAAGTTTTATGGTTAGTAAGTAACAATAATGCAAGGAAACCCTTTTTTTTTTTCAATCCAGAAAAACAGCATGGTTTTCGAGTCATAACTTTGAGGTAGTATAATTGCTTCTGGTAGCCATATTGGAAGCTCCTGAAAGGTTATGAGTTCTATGTCTTGATTTTTTTGATGCTTGAAGTTTTGGATACCAGTGCCTAGCACAGAATGTAATACCTTTTATATTTTTTGAAGGAATCACTGTTATCTTATATTAATGTTATTTTCAGGCACTTAATGAAGTGGTTAAAAGTGCAAGCTCTGCAGTTGTTTTGCTAGGGTTTGAATCCTGGTTCTGCTCTGTGACCTTGAGCAAGTTACTTAACCTCTCTGTGCCTCTGTTTCCTTATCTGTAAATAGAGGATAATCAATATCACTGCATAGGTTTGTTGTGAATATTAAATGTTAATACAAGTAGAACACTTAGAAAAAGTAATTGCATGACATGCATTAGAGATTTTACTAAGAGATTACCGTATCTTGTGATCATTACTCACAAGCATTGTATAATTACTATAAAGCTTTGTGAATATGAAATACATAAATAATCAGTCTTACTATTTTTCTTTCCATAATAACAATGATAATTGCCATTTAGGAAGGGTCAACCATGTCCTGGACACTTGTCAACTTTGCAAGGTAAGTGCTATTAACTTCATTTTAGGGTAAAAATAGGTGGCTAAGGTTAAGGGATTTCCCTAAGACTTCACAGCTGTAAACCCAGCAACAGATTAAAACCAGGTCACTCTGGCTGCAAAACCTATGGTCTTTTACTGAGTGATTTGAAAGGCAGAATAAAATAAATTTATGCTTTTCAGTTTCATTTCAGCCCTTGTGACTAATTAATGAGTTTGTGTAAAGAACATATCTCCAGAAACCCATTTCATTCAGCATATTGAAAATCAACCCCTTTTTCATAATCAGATATTTTTGAACCAGAATGTCATTTAAAGTGGATAAAGAGATTGACTTTTCTAATAATGAAAGATTATTTGCTTTAAGGTTAATTTCCTGTTTTTATGTGTTTCAGTCAACAATAAAAAATAGTATTTTAGACCTTTTTTTCATCTTCTTGTGCTTTGGTCAGATTGCTAGAGAACCATGCCAGAAAGTGGTGTAAACATTTTGACTCTCTCTGATTAAGAAGGGAGATCCCTTAGGACAGAAGGATTGAAAGCAGAATGAGATTGTCTGTTCCTTGAAATTTACGGCATTATTGCCCTACCCCAAAACTACATGGATCTTTAAAAGCATCTGTGCTCTTAAAACAAAATAGAATTTTGTCCTATATATCCACTGCCTCTTCTCTAAGGTCTTTAGTCATTTGTGAAATGAAAATGGATGGTGATGTGGGCTTCGAGCAAGATGCAATGCCTGTCAGCTTTGCCAAACTGCGGGTTTCACTGCTGGGCTCAGATGCGGTGTCTTGGGTGTTGAAAAGATAAACATAAAACTGTTTGTAGCAAGATATTCATGTGATGAGGTGTGACTGGATTAGTGCACCTGCATTAATGTGCTGGCAAAAATGCATATTCCCTGCAGTTGATGAATCCAGAGAAAAACATAGAAACTAACATTGTTATTTATTATTGTTTTAAGCTGATACTGTGCCAAACTTAAATATACACCAACTGTGGTGACATAACTACACATAAGAGGAACCTTATCTGCTGTCTGTAAACTTTGTAATAAAATTTCAAAATTGAAATTTTAAATGCACAATATGAAGAATTGAAAGTTAAGGTTTGTTATATTGTTTACCTCTTTGTCATATACCGTACTCAAGTAATTGCCTTGCTGATAGTATATGTATAAAATACATATGATTTATACTGATAGTCTACTCCTCTGAAGACCATAGCTATAATCTATTGACTTCCATACATTTAAAATTTCAACATTTTCCACAGCAGTTCCAAGTCTTTCCCACCTCCCAGCTGTGAATAGAAGTGATTGCCCCTCCCCCTAAGCAATGCCAAGAAGCACACGTGACCCCCAGTCTGAAGACTTATGGAAACACTGTGAGATAAAGGTGAGGAATGTAAGATGGGAAGTGGGATATTTAGGGATTACATTTGAGGATGACATTCTTTTGTTCTTTCTGTTTTGTATTTGGCCTTTTAAACTAAGGAGGATAGAATGACTGAATTTATACTACTAATTTTCTGTATTTTGGTGTGACAGTTTCATATTTATTAATAAAATCACTTGGTGTTTTGATATACATTCAAGAAATGATCGATAAAACTTTGAGAGATGGTAAATCAGAAAGGGAGGAAGGAGGAAGGGGAGGCCATGCATAGCCCAAATTTACTATTGTGACTCAGCTGCTAACCGGCTGCCCAGAAATGGCCACTGCTGTATAGCATATGATTATAGTATTCTTTGTATGTACTCTTGAAAATATTATTTAATGATTCAGGCTGGTTAGAAAGCTTCCAGATGTTTGCCTTTATTATTAGTGATGCTAATTTTCTCTTCCAAATTATAAAGAAAAATATAATCTACAAAGAAATATTTTCATGGTTTTACTTTTTGCTTTTCTTTTTTGTACTGATTGTGTTTTTCCCTACATTTCAAAATTTGCACCATTACCCATTTGCACCATTAAAGAAGATGTTTGGAAAGGAGCTCCATCCATCATTGGAGCCATTTTATTATTGTTGTAACCTAGATAGTACAGATAGGCACTTGGCCTTGAGAAATGAAGCCTTGGATTCTAGCTGTTAGCAATACAGCACTTAAATAAACAAAAATTATGTTTCATGCTATCTAAGGCATATTATGAATACATCTGTTCATACAAGAACTCTGACTGCAGATACAGGGCCTAGACCTTCTCATGTGGTGGGGAGTGAGGAGAAGCTTTCTAAGCTCACCCCACCCCTTCCATCGTAACACAGAGCCTCTTGAGAGCTGCTGTTGAGGCCCCCAACTTTTCAGAACGAAAGGTAGCATTGTACCTGTATGTTACATGCCAGTCAGCATTGTGAATTCATTTGTTTTCCATAAGGTTTATTTTAAACTTCTATTCTTTATGGAAAATCATTCTCAATTCTAAACATTTTCCTTAAATTAACACATGATTTCATTTGGAAAAGAAGTTGGGGAGGGTAGTTTATTTCATACACACACACACACAGAGAGAGACCCATACACATATTTCCTATGTTCACAAGTTACACCCTATCCTGCAATATATTTTCTATATTTTCTTTGTAAATCTAAATGGTATGATTCTTTTTTTCTGAAAATTAGTGAATTTCCAAAGTATTGGTTTTTATTCATTTGTGCCGCATAAACATTTCCTAATCATTTCTTTTCTGGCTTTGCTTAAAAGGCAAATTTAATGCCTAGTGTTCTTAATATATTAACTAGTGAAATTAGTAGATGCATAGAATTAGTAAATGCATTCAGCCTATCACTAAATTTTTTTCATGTAGACTCATAAATATCTCTACAACAGTCCACTTTCTTTTTTTTAAACAATATCCTCTCATTCTTATTTTTTAAAAAAAGATTTATTTTATTTATTTGAAAGAGTTACAGAGAGATGTAGAGACAGAGAAAGAGATCTTCCATCTGCTGGCTCACTCCCCAGATGGCAGCAATGACTGGAGCTGAGCCAGTCAGAAGCCAGGAGGCCAGGAGCTTCTTCCAGGTCTCCCATGTGGATACAGGGGCCCAAGAATTTGGGCCATCCTCCGCTGCTTTCCCAGGCCATTAACAGGGAGCTGGACAGGAAGTGGAGCAGCCAGAACTCGAACTGGTACCCATATATGGGATGCCAGCACTTCAGGCTGGGGCTTTAACCCGCTGTGCCACAGTGCTGGCCCCAAACATTCCATTTTCCTGTATCAGTGCCACCACCACTCTGATCCATGCTACTATTATCTCTATCTTGGAAAAGTGTGAAGGCCCCTTAACTCACCTCCTCCTATTTCTTGTGCCCAGTCTGACCCATTCTCTATCTGGTAGCCAGAATGATTTTTTTTGAGACTGAAGTATGATTACATCATCCTCTCCTGCTTCAAATTCTTTCAGTCTTCTCCCTTTTGAGGATAGAGACCAGAGGGACTAGCGCAGCCTTTGTGGCCTCACATGCTGTGGCCATGTGCTCACATAGCCAGCCTTACCTCCTTCCCTGCCTGTGCTTCTCCTCTCATTCTGTTGTTCTCCCGCTGCCCTGAGCTTCCAGTTACAGGATAAGCCCCCTTTCTACCTTAAGCTGTGAAGATCTTTTCAAATGTTCCCACTACCAGCCCTCTCTCTCCTTCCTCACCCCTTTAACTTCTACCTTCTTGTGTTTTTACTTCAATACTTCCTCCAAGACATCTCTCATGACCCTGATTTTATAAGTTTCCCTATTGCAGTGATGTAGTTCATCAAACTTAGGTGACTTTGATTATAAGAACCACAATTATTTCATGTACTACTAAAAAATAAAAAAGGAAAACTCTAAATTATAAAGAAAATGTAACAGTGATTTTGAGATGCATCTCAGTTTCATAGATGCTCAATTTTAAAAATCAGTATCTATCTCTGTGTAACTCTTTCAAATAAACAGATCTTTAAAATAAATTTTCAAATAAATAAATATTTAAAAAATCAGTATCTTAGAATGAATTCAACAAATATATGATCTTGACATTTTACATCTATTTGTCTTAATGATTTATATTATGAGAATATGGAATTATCTCTCTTTGTTTACCACTGAATCCCTTCCTATTCTCTTTTCTTAAGCTTTTATTTATTTACTTGACAGGTAGCATTACAGAGAGAGAGAGAGAGAGAGAGAGAGAGAGAGAGAGAGAGGTTTTCTATCTGCTGGGTCACTCCCCAGTTGGCCACAATGGCTGGAACTGGGCCAATCTGAAGCCAGAAGCCAGATGCTTCCTCTGGGTCTCCCATGAGCGTGCGGGGGTCCAAGCACTTAGGCCATCTTCCAGGCCATTAGCAGGGGAGCTGGATTGGAAAAGGAGCAGCTAGGGGCCGGAGCCGCAGCTCACTAGGCTAATCCTCCGCCTTGCGGCACTGGCACACCGGGTTCTAGTCCTGGTCGGGGCGCCGGATTCTGTCCTGGTTGCCCCTCTTCCAGGCCAGCTCTCTGCTGTGGCCAGGGAGTGCAGTGGAGGATGGCCCAAGTGCTTGGGCCCTGCACCCCATGGGAGACCAGGAGAAGTACTGGCTCTTGCCATCGGATCAGTGCGGTGCGCCGGCTGCAAGTGCGCCGGCCACAGTGGCCATTGGAGGGTGAACCAACCGCAAAGGAAGACCTTTCTCTCTGTCTCTCTCTCTCACTGTCCACTCTGCCAGTCAAAAGAAAAAAGAAAAGGGGCAGCTAGGACGTGAACCAGTGTCCATATGGGATGCCAGCAACACAGGCCACAGCGCTGCCCCTCCTGTTCTCTTTTGAATCCACTCCAATCAGGCTTTCACCCACCACTCTACCAAAAGGGTGCTTGTCAAGGTCTTTGCCCAGGACTCCCCAGCATTCCTTCCATCAGAAGCATTTGGCATGGAGTAATATTCTCTCTTCCTGGAAAGACCTTCTTCATTTGACTTCTGGGGTACCACATTCTGGATTTTTTTACTACCTCTCTGACTTCCCTTGCTCAATCTCTGTTATTGGTTCTTTCTCATCTTCCCTTGCTCTTAATGTTGCAGAGCCACATGGGAAGTCATGAGACTTCTGTTCTTTCTGCATTCAGTTCTAGTCTCATAGCTTTAGACCACCTATGTGTAAATGTGTATCTCCGACTTAGACCTTTCCCCTGAACTCGATTTGAATTCCCTTCTGTCTACTTGACCTCCACTTGGACATCTCTATTGGACATCTCAAATTTAATACGGCTGGCTGGCGCCATGTCTCACTTGGCTAATCTTCTGCCTGCAGCGCCGGCATCCCGGGTTCTAGTCCCAGTTGGGGCGCCAGGTACTAGTCCCGGTTGCTCCTCTTCCAGTCCAGTTCTCTGCTGTGGCCCAGGAGGGCAGTGGAGGATGGCCCAAGTGCTTGGGTCCCTGTACCCGCGTGGGATACTAGCAGGAAGCACCCGGCTCCTGGCTTCGGATCGGCACAGCGCCGGCCATAGCAGCCATTAGGGGAGTGAACCAATGGAAGGAAGATCTCTCTCTGTCTCTCTCACTGTCTGCAACTCTACCTGTCAAATAAAAAAAATTAATACGGCTAAAACCGTCCTTCCCTCCTCCCCTGAACCTCACTCCATCAAGCCTTTGACTCCTGCTGGCAACTTCAGTTTCCTGGTTGCTCAAGCTAAAATCCTTAGAGTTGTCCTTGATTCTTCTCTTTCAGTCATACTTCTTATTTAGTACACAAACAAATCATGTTGGCTCTACTGTTAAAAGATTTCAAGAACCATACCACTCATCACCACCTCTGGTGCTACCAGCTGAACCAAACCATCATTATCATCTGAATTTTTATAGTACCCTCCTGACTGATCCCCAGCTTCCATCCTGTCTCCTACTTGAGTCTGTTCTCAACATGGAAGCCAGGGTAATCTTTTGAAAACACATGTCAGGTCATGTTACTCCTTTGTGTTCAGTTCCCTTTGACTCCTCATTTCACACAGAGTACAAACTAAAGGCTTTATAATGGCCTACAAGTCCCTCCCTAATTTAGCTTCCTAGTGGCCTCATTTCCAAACTTCTCCCATTTGATCCTATGCAACCACACTGGCCTCTTTCCTCTTCTTCAGATATAGCAAGTATGCTCCACCTCAGGGCTTTTGATACTTATTGTACTCTCTGCTGGGAATGTTCTTTTTTTAAAAAAAAAAAATTATTTATTTTAAAGCCAGAGTTTCAGAGAGAGGAAGGGAGACCGAGAAAGTTCTTTCATCTGCTGGTTCATTCTCCAAATGGCCTCAGTGGCCAGGACTGGGCCAGGCTGAAGGCAGCAGCCAGATCTCTCATGTGGGTAGAGGAGCCCGATCACTCAGGCCATCCTCTGCTGCTTTCTCAGATGTGATAGCAGAGAGCTGAATCGGAAGCAGAGCAGCTGGAACTTGAACCAGTGTCCATATGGGATGCCAGTGTCAGAGGCAACAGCTTTACCCACTACACAGCACCAGCCCCACTGGGAATGTTCTGGAATCTGATATCTTTGTGGCCTATTCCATCACTTGCTTCAGATATTACCTGCTTCATTGAACCCTTTTCTGGTCACTATTTAAAAGTGCAGCCCCATAACAGTCCCTATATCTTTTCTCTGCTTATTAGGTATTTATTTATTTTTATTGTCTGTTTTCTCTACCTTTCCATGAAAACAAGGATTTTTGTCTGTTCCTTATATTATGTCCCTTAATACCTGAAATAATCTTTGGGATACAGTTGATGTTCAATAAGAATTTATTGGGAGCCGGCGCCGCGGCTCACTAGGCTAATCCTCCACCTTGCGGCACCGGCACACCAGGTTCTAGTCCCGGTCGGGGCGCCGGATTCTGTCCCGGTTGCCCCTCTTCCAGGCCAGCTCTCTGCTGTGGCCAGGGAGTGCAGTGGAGGATGGCCCAAGTCCTTGGGCCCTGTACCCCGTGGGAGACCAGGAGAAGCACCTGGCTCCTGCCATCGGATCAGCGTGGTGCGCCAGCCACAGTGCGCCAGCCACGGCGGCCATTGGAGGGTGAACCAATGGCAAAAGGAAGACCTTTCTCTCTGTCTCTCTCTCTCACTATCCACTCTGCCTGTCAAAAAAAAAAAAAAAAATGAATTTATTGGAGGGGAAGAGGAGAAGGAAGAAAGAACATTCTAGTTTGAGTTGTGTTTAGCCTATAAACCAAATATTCATGATGTCCATCTATGCTTCATTTGAATCACTACTGTTCACCATGCTCTTATGGGTAAAATTCCTTGTAATAAATTCTCTGGTGAATGCTTCCATCTGGTGAAACATACTCCAGAAAGTTTTCCACAAAAATACTAGTCAGTGACAGAGATGGAATTCCTTAATGTAATTAACTGAAATATAGCATTATATAAGATCTCACCAAGGGTACCTGAAACTTGGAATACCTCACAGAGACCATGTTTCCTACATAATAGTTCCTAGAATCTTGTTTGTAAATGATACTCAAGTTACACATGTTGACTCATTGACTCAACTGGCACAGCAAAGTCAAAACAAATGAATGATATCCCCAAGGGTCTTATCTGGTATGCAGCCCAAGAGACTTCCCTATAAGGTCAATCCTGTTTAGTCAATGGTAAATACTAAAACTCCATGGGATCTTCACTGGAAACTGTTGAAAGTAAATGAATCTGATATTAAAGGTTTCTCCAGTGAATCCCACTGCAGAATTCCATCACTGTAGATATGGCCTTAGTGTATAAAGTCATTTCCTCTTCAAAATAACCTAATTTTAATGCAATTATCAATGTAAACAGTAGGATCACAAAGGTCAGCTGTTTTTAAAGTAGCTATTCACTCATGAAAGGAAATGGAACATTTAACACATAAAAAAGTCAAAGCAGATTCTTAGAGTGACAGTACTGGCAAAATTTAGATCACTTCTAAACAATAAGATGGAAGATGAGAGGGAATCAATAGCATATGTGGATATTGAGAGATTACTGGCAGCTTTCTGAAAGCAATATATGATGGAATTACTGAAACTAAAACATTAATAGGAGTATACAGATATTTTGATAACTTTACTATTCTAGGTCATATTGTAACTGATGTACTCTTCTCTGCAGCAGGAAATAACGATTCTCCTCATATGAATAGAGAGGAAGTTTCTCCACACCTCTTCTAAAATTTCTCCTTTCTTTGGATTTCCCAGGCAAACCAGACAAAAGAATGATCTAATTGTTGTCTCTGCATGCCAGAGTGGCACAATTTCCTTATCAAATGTGTCCACAAATTAAAGTGAATGATTAAAGCAAATGACTCTTCCCTGAAAAGCACACTCAAATTTCAGACCATAATCTTTGGGTATTTACCACTGGTTTGAGGGTGCCTGATAACACCAGAAGTATGCATGAGAGACAGGTTTCTCTGTGTATTATAATCAATAATATTCACATATTGAAACCTGAAGCTAGGCTTAGCATTCTTTATTTTTGTCCTTATAAGTATCATTTATATTATACAGTTAGTAAATTTCTAGAGTCCAGAAATACAAATTTATTTTACCAATTTATTCCTTCAACGCATATTTAACAACTGCCTCCTGTGTTTCAGATACTAAGAAAAGTAGTAGAGATTTATTTATCCACTCAACATGTAAAGTGTTTACTTTTTTCCAGTCACCATTCTGAGTTCTAGATGTAGCAGTGAACAAGATTGTCATAGTGCCTTGTGACCAGCATTTCTCAATAATCCTGTTAGAGTCAGGAGAGGTGAACACCAAACTCTTTTTTTTTGTTGTTATTTTTTTGTATTTGATAGAGACAGATAAAGAAAGCTCCCATCCACTGGCTCATTTCCCAGGTACCCACAACACCAGGGGCTGGGCCAGCTTAAGACTTGCGAGCCTGGAACTCTATCCAGATCTCATACGTGGGTGGCAGGAGCACAACTACTTGAGCCATCACCAGTGCCTTCCAGAGTGCACATTGGCTGGAAGCTGGACTTTGGGGCAAACCAGAACTTGAACCCAGGCTGTATGATATGGGACACAGGCATCCCATGAGGTATCTTAGCCTCTAGGCCAACCCTTTAATCTTGACCACTTGGTTCTCCACAATTCTTGGGCCAGTTATTGTCTAAATTGTCTTCATTCTGGGTATTTTAAAGTGATACATAACTGCAGAGTCCAAATTGTAAAGGATCAATAAATTTTAGTTATTTGTAATGAAAAGATAAACTACAGGCGTGATATGCTACAGCACCTAGAACATGGTTTCCACAGTACTCATTTGAGACACTTTTTTTCTTCTCAATTACACTTATCTGAGCATACAGTTTCTATTCAATTCAAAAGAGTTCTCAGTTTAGATGCAGGATGTACAACGAGAAAAGAAGCAAATCCTTGGAAATACATTGAAAAAATACATACTTTTTATAAAAATCAATGGGCACTCAGACCTGTCAGATGGTTCTAATGATGAAAATAAATATTCCCATTGAAAAAGCAAACCATCACATGATTTGGACTAAATTTGGAGATTGTTAATGAAACAATGAAATTAGAAAGCTCATTTCAGAGCACCCTGAAACTTTTTTTTTTTTTGACGGGCAGAGTTTAGACAGTGAGAGAGAGAGAGAGAGAGAAAGGTCTTCCTTCTGTTGGTTCACCCCCCAAATGGCCGCTGCAGCCGGTGCGCTGCGCTGATCTGAAGCCAGGAGCCAGGCGCTTCCTCCTGGTCTCCCATGCAGGTGCAGGGCCCAAGCACCTGGGCCATCCTCCACTGCCCTCCCAGGCCACAGCAGAAAGCTGGACTGGAAGAGGAGCAACCGGGACAGAATCTGGCACCCCAACGGACTAGAACCCGGTTGCCGGCGCCGCAAGGCAGAGGATTAGCCAAGTGAGCCGAGGCACTGGCCCTGAAACTTTTTCTAACATATATAAGTTAAAATCAATCAATATGGGGGCCAGTACTGTGGAATAGCAGGTAAAGCCACTGCCTGCAGTGCCAGCATCCCATATGGGTGCTGGTTTATGTCCGGCTGTTCCACTTCTGATCCGGCTCTCTGCTATGGCCTGGGAAAGCAGTGGAAGATGGCGCAAGTCCCTGGGCCCCTGCACCTGTGTGGGAGACCCGGAAGAAGCTCCTGCCTCCTGACTTCGGATCAGCCCAGCTCCAGCCATTGCAGCCATTTGGGGAGTGAACCAGCAGATGAAAGACACCCCCCCCCCCTTTCTGCCTCTGTAACTCCACCTTTCAAATAAATAAATCAATCTTAAAAAAAAAAAAAGACTGCCACTCTTTAAAAAAACTCAATCAATATGTAGTTAATACATTTAGAAGAATTACTTGAGCTTTTCAGGGTAACAGTAAAAGTTTCTTAAAAACATAATGAATGGAAAAATCTTCTATTGACAGTCTATTTTTCCATTAAAATATTTTATTAACAGTAATACATACTTGTAGGTACAGTGTGACATTTTCTTTTTTTTCTTCAACCTCTTAGAAGAATTTTTTTATTTATTTTTTATTTTTTATTTATTTATTTTTTTGACAGGCAGAGTGGACAGTGAGAGAGAGACAGAGAGAAAGGTCTTCCTTTGCCGTTGGTTCACCCCCCAATGGCCACCGCAGCACCGCGCTGATCCGATGGCTGGAGCCAGGTACTTATCCTGGTCTCCCATGGGGTGCAGGGCCCAAGTACTTGGGCCATCCTCCACTGCACTCCCTGGCCACAGCAGAGAGCTGTCCTGGAAGAGGGGCAACCAGGACAGAATCCGGCGCCCCGACCGGGACTAGAACCCGGTGTGCCGGTGCCGCAAGGCGGAGGATTAGCCTAGTGAGCCGCGGCGCTAGCCGTAGAAGGATTTTTAAAATTTATTTTAAGATTTAACAATTTTTAACATTTTATTATATTTACTTCATCTGTAGATACATACATATATATTTTTTCTTGAAAACAGTGATATTAATATCACGCAATGCAGGATTCATGCCAATGATCATAAAATGAGGAAATAAAAGTATATTGCCATAGAAGTGGTATCATTCAATGAAGCTGAATAGTTTTTGAATGACTAAATATACAGTAAACGATTGTGTTTACTCTGACAGATCCCTGAGGAGCCCCACATCAAGAACTGTAGAGCTTTACCAACCAGTAGGATGCTCAGTTTTCCACTGCCTGGATCAAGAACGCAGCAGCAGTTGTACCACTGATGCGTGGTGATCTGTCTGCCAGGTCATATTTTTATTTCAGTTGACATTAAATAATATGTCTCTCACAAATGCTTTATATAAAGGACACAGCTCTGAAACTGGAGGATTCTCTTCAAACTGTGTGCAGCATAAGAGATAAGAATCAAAGATAAAGAAGAATGTTAAGAATATTAAGATATCGTTTCAACCTTTTAACATTTTGACAAAATTTTATCATCCAAAAACTATTATCAGTGCTGCAGATCAAGAAATCCTAAATGTTTCTGATAAGCCAAGTATTGCTGTTTTGTTTTTTTCAATTAACTACTGGACTGTTTAATCACGAGATATATTCTATGTTTGGGGTTGTGTGCAACTTTGTGCAGGTGTGTTTTGTACCAAAGGCTCTCATGCAGCAGTTAGCCCATTTACACATAAATAAGAGAAGTCTACACTGTGCCCAGATGAATGGTATTGAAGACAGACTTGCCTAAAAGAAATGTGCCTTGCTTGGTTAAACATTCTTTTATTTTTTAACTCAAAACAATAGATTTGCAAATTAGTCTTATAGGTAGGTTTCAGCTGAGCTCACATTACAAAAATACATTAGTATGTTTAAGTTGTTTATCTTAACTAAAATTTTAATGTCAAGTTATATTTTTCAGAATTTTATATTTAATCATTCAATTTCATTTCCCTGGGATGTTTGGTGTGGCAAGACAAAGCACATTCTTATATATAATATTTCATCTAATGTTTATGATGTTTCCTTTACAATTATTTACATAAATTTTCCTCGACTCGTTTTCTATTTTTATATTCTTTGAGAAGTGGAACTCTTTTTCAGTTAAAGTTTACTTGGAAAGGAGATTTAGGAGGTGATGAGGATGCTGTGCCACTTGGAGGATGTTCCACTGCGGTGCCATTATTAATGTGCTTACTGTGACACTTCAGCAGAACGGTAGCTGCTTGTATATTTTTTTCATGCGCCTTATGGAAAGTCAGACTGTGAACACTTAGTATATAGAAAACTTTTCTCATTTCTGTGTTTTATTTTCAAAATGTACCTGAACAAATGCTTAAATAACCAATATCCTATTATTTAAATGCAGAGCAATGCTAAGTTATAATAACAGCACTTGCAGAATTTCAGTCACTATGAAAATATTTCAGTAGCAAAACCAAGATTATGAACTTTTTGATGCTCTATAGAAGAAAATACTGGTGATGCATCTCATTGGTAATATATGAGTCAGTAACTAAAACAGTTTTATACCTACTAGCAGCAAAACAGATGGATAGGACAATCTGGGTAACTTTCTTTGAGGCAATGTCTACAATGAGTTTTTCATAGTCTACTAATATTTTCCTGGTATTCAGAGCTTTGAGTCTGGATCACTATTGGCAAAAGTGAAATAAAGGGATGACAGCTTTCTCAGATTTGAGCTCTATGAACCTCCAACCCAGATGTGTGTGATTCAAGTGAAAATAGAGCCACCAACTTGTTTTTGTTCTGTGTTAGCCCATGTAGTAGAGCCACTGGCCCAGGGGGTAGCTGGTCCAGTGTAAACCAACTGAATCCTCATCACTGATGATCAAGCCTGGCCAGCAGTGAAGTAATCCACACCAGCCACTGGGCTGATTGAAATGGACCGATCGGTGTGTACAAGAGGTCTCAGACATTCGGATGTTTTTGTAAAGATCAGTAGGTATTACAAAGATAGACACGAAAACTGCCTCCATAAAGCACCAATGACACAGCATTACGCATTCTAGTGTATGTTGTATATCATGCCTACTTTATTATTACCAGATACAGTTTCAAATAAAGACAAAACCTGGACTTTTATGAAAAAAGCATGGAATGGTATCAGATGGTTAATCTATCATACCAAATATAGTTCACAGGTTGGATGGTGAAAACGGTACTGTTCTAGTTAACAGGAGATCATGGTTCTTACCCACTTCCTACCTGTGGGACCTTGATATGTCAGTTACCATTGCTAGTGTTCATTTTCTTGAATTGCAAAATGGGCACAATAATTCAATAATTTCCTAAGCCTTTCTCAATCCCCAGATCCTCATTATACACATTACTTGAAAAATTCTTTGAAGAATATTTAAGTACTCAGATTTTCTCATGCATTTCTAAAGGAAAGAATAAAATGAAATAAAATTTTAAGCCTTGAAAGTGCCATAGTGTCATAAATATATCATTCTTCAAATTGATCATGAAAAGAGGAAATAGGATTCTTTTTACTCTAAGAATTTTCATTGATCTATAATAGGATCATGAAAAAGTAGAAAATCATTCTGCAGCATGGAAACAGATGAATAAAATAGCCAGAAAAGAGGAGAGGGTATTTGTTAAATTAGATGTTAAGGTGATTTGAAAATAGTGTGTGAAGTGCTAAAATGGTACCAGAGCTTTGTTGCACACTGACCTGGGAGTTGGGGAAGGTGGTAAAAGGCTGAAACAATGGAGTGTCTCTCGGGTTCTTGGTTCATTTCCATAAGAAGCAGTCTGGTGGAGCTCAGGCAAGTGCCTGTGCTGCAGCTCTGGCTCTGCCAATAACTCTACGTGCCCCAGGAAGGTCCCTTTTGTTTCTCTGAGTCTCAACTTCTTTTATCTGAAAATACTTTTAAAATTTAGTCATCTGTATGTTTCTTTTCATCTTTGAAAATTCCTTAACATTTCAGATTATTAAAATATGAGAAGGCTTCAAAAAGTTCATGGAGAAAACGGAATTAAAAAATAATGTGGATTTCCCATTAGCTTTTTAAAGCCCTGTTGGATACGTGCACAAGTTGTTCCTTTTTGGTCTTTAAGATGCCACATATTTCTACTCAAGTGAATGAGCAGATTGCAAATCCAAATGTTCATATTTCTCATGTAACTAATTGACCTCAGCAAGACATTAAAATGTTAAACTTTGCTTTTCATTTTCACCATGGCTTAATTAGTATGATTTGTCGTTTCATATTTATATGCTGAGTAAGTTACATAAATAGAATGTTCACATCAATCTCCTCTTTAAATTTTTGTTGTTTAATAAACTTAGAAAATTAGAATCAAATATATTATACTTACCAATGAACTGGAGCTGATTGTAAGATACTTTTGTCCAAAAAAAAATAATAATACCCTTTTGGTCCCAGAAGCAATGAACGTGATTTAAAATAATAATCACAAAATTTTATGAAATTTTTGAATACAAAGGAGGCCTATTAGAGCCATATTCTAATTAATTTTACTCAGGAGTGAGAAATAAAATTCAGGGATAACCCAAACACTTCTGTTTGGCATTAGTGGACAGTTAGGAAAAGAAGGATTGTAACTTTTGCACACAGAGATCAAGAAGTAACTGTACCCCTTGGAAAAATGAGTATATTCTTGTTGCTGGTTTTATGGTAGAAAGAAATTAGGCTAGAAGAATACTAAAACTTGGACACTAGTAAACTGTTAAGATGATCACAGGCCATTTGAATAATACAGACATATTCTGCCATACTAAGATTCTTTGTCCAGAGGTTTAGTCTTGTATCCCTTCCATTCAGAAAAGGGGGCAGTTTTTCAAGGCCTCTATCATAGTAGGAAATGTATATTTTGGCAAGTGGAGCAATTAAAACATTTAATCTGATAATTTGGTTTTGTGAATCTGAATTTTCATTTTAGGTATAAGTGAGTCTCACGTATTCATGTCAGTGATCATTGTGAGAAGTGATTTCATCTTTTTTTAAAGTTGATGAAATTTGCTAAATGGTGATTCTGGTGTATTGTGTTAATACTGTATCTTACAATAGTTTGTGAACTGACCATACTAAATGAACTGTAGTGGTATTTCTTCTGGTAAATTGTTTCTATGGTGTAATCTGTTAATATTTGGGGAAGGGGTGGGGGGAGGTTAAATTTACTTAAAACTGTCAAAGTGTTTTCCTTACATGCCATGAAATTATATGACTATAAACCAAATAAGAATATCCTCTTTCCTTTATTTTCAATTTTAAGGACACTGTATAGACCATTTTTTAAACTTTCCCATAAAATGGTACCATGTATGTTAAAAAGCTCCTTTGTGTGTATATATATAAATACAAGGGAAAGCAGTGTATGTAATATTTCTATATCATATACTAAATGTTGTAAGAATCCATTTTTAAAATCTTACAGAAATGGCAATTATGCAGATATCAGAATGACAAATACATCACCTCAATTTTTCATAGGAAGTCTAAATTTATTTATAACATTTGCATCTTTGCAAATGTCATTCACTTTATTTAACTCTAAAGCATCCGCTGAAGTACTAATGTCATCTGAAGTTTAGAGATGAAACAGCCAAGGTTTAGAAAAATCAAATGATTTTTCCAAGATCGTTTGGCCAAGTATCTCTAAATCTCATGTTCTTTACCTCTTCACCCTCTGTTATTTTGTTTTTGTCCTGTCACTGCCATTAGACTTAAACCTTTGACTAAATTGTAATTTTAAAAGATACATGAGGAAATTTCAAGTTTTAGCAAAAAGGCACTGTTGGCTCTTGGCAGACCTTTTTAGATACACACCAATCATAATCTTTCCACAAAATGAGAGCCATACATTTTCCATCTAAAACACATGAAGTCCACACACCCTGACCACAGATACTAAATATGGTTGATGTCAAAATGCTGGACTGAAAAATGACCTCCTTCACTGATCTTTCTCATTTCTTTTCTTTAAAATTCATCATGATGACTGGTTTCTGAATGGTTGAAAGAAGCAATAATCAACCCAAGAAACTGCAACCAATCTGATTCAGAGAATCCGAAAAAAACAGACTCACCATAGTAACCGTTTTTCAGCCTATTGTTTTTCATCATACATATTCTATGATTAGGGGAGGACAGGGTAGGGAGTGGGGAGAAAAAATGCCTTTATTTTTAGAACACTCATTATTTTCTGTAACTATTCAGAAAGAATTGGTTATCAAATGTTAGATAACAGTTTTGTTAACACTTAGCTGTAGTTTAAATATTTGTAAAGTTTTCCACATATTTAAAAATCCACTTAAGAATTTTCCAGATAAAATTAAAATCTGATGACTGCTCAGTTGGAATATGGTGAACATTCATGTGTTAATCATGACATGATACAGTTTTGTTCTTTCTCAAACAACAGTTAGACACTGTTACTGCTTTCCCTTGGAAGTCAACAGTCTGTGATACATTCTGTACTTTTACTGATTAGCAATGCAATGTTACTGTGAATATTTAAATGGAGCATATGCTTATTATATTGGAATTTAAATTTTTATAACCTTAAGTTTAGTTCCTCTTATCAAACTGATAAGTCAAGTAAGTATTATTTTGTATGGAATAAAATAATCATTCATAAATAATAATAACAAATAATGAAATTCTGAATAAGAAACATAGATTTTATATTTTTTCTATATTCATCATATTTTAACATTGAATTTTGTTAATTTGTCATATATTAATGTAAAGTTAGAATAAGCTACTATATACACCATGTTCTCTGATGTTCTTGTCATCATACTTTTGGGCCTTCTGTTAAGTACCTGTCAGTAAATACTTGTGACTTTTGATTACGTGATCCATTTTATAAAATTTGTCCATGGATTTAAAGTGTTTTCATTGCAAGTGTTATATATAGAAGTCAATAAAAGACCCACAAAAAATACTGTTATTTATATTAATAATTGGTGCCATATGACTCCCTCTCCCTCCTTCTCTTCCCTTATTTTTACTTGTTTGCTTGTTTATGTATTTTTTGCTTTATCTTTTTTTTAAAGATTTATTTTATTTATTTGAAAGAGTTACAGAGAGAGAGAGAGATAAAGACAGAGAGAGAGGTCTTCCATCTGCTGGTTCACTCCCCAAGTGACCGCAATAGCTAGAGCAAAAGAAGAAATACAAAGCATGGCCATTGCCAGTAGCTCCAGCATCTCTAAGATTGTTGTGTGTCCTCTCACACGACATAAAGACTGCTGCACATTACACCTAGCAGACTTCCCGGGTGCTAGCATTCCCTGGCTTTTTTCCTTTGCCCATCTTACACTGTTTGAGGTCCAATAAAATCTTAAGAAAGAAAATTTTTATTTGCAATAAGACTGTACTTCTATACTTTGTGCCAATTATATGAGTAAATTGTAATAAAGCAAATATACATTTTTCATTCAAAAATATGTATCTAGTACCCATTGTGTGCATTATCCTGTGCAAAGTACTATAAAGGAGTCTGAAGATCAATACAAAGATAACCCTGCTCGCAGAGAGCTTATGTTCATATTCTCTGTATGTCCAATATTTTTTGCACCACATTATAATTTCTAGTTATCACCCATTTCATATCCTTTATTCTTATTTTTATGCTTAGCAATGTTGATGCTAAATCTTTCATTGTCCTAATGGCACCTAGTTACTACAATGTGTTTATGCTTTTGGAATGTCAACAAATGCTGCATTAACCAAAACAAAGGCGCTTTCTTGTTTCCATCTGGAATTTTACTTAGTCTAAAACAACCCCCCACCACAGTGCAGAGTTAGATCCCCTTACACATGTGGCAATTATCTGTGTATGAGAGAGATGAAGTGACATTTTTCTAAGCCTCCAATTAAGAAATAATTTTTAAGCTTTCTCATTGCACAGTTTTGGTGGTGGATTTAATGAGCCATAATTTGTAAGAATTTTATTTTAAAGGACCAAATCTTTTAAGTCTTTTACAAACATTTACAGAATAAATTGAGAAGTGGGGTTTCTTCCTAGGAGTTACAGGTGCTCTCCTGGAACCACCCTTGCCTCACATTTTTGTTGGACTTGAACAGGAACAACATAGTATGGAATTATTGCTGCGTACTAACCAGCCAACCCTTGATTCCCTTCTCTGGGCTTGGTTTTGTATTAAAACCTTTACAATATTTTGCCCTCCTTCCTGTTATGTCTACTGTTTATATTATTCATTCATCAAAGCCAAAATGAGTTGCTTTATTTTGTTTAAATAAATTCCTTCTTTGTTCACTCTAAATGATATCTGATAACTTGAGTCACAGAAGAGAAAACTGTATCATGGCAATAGAAAAGCCAAATTAAGAACTAAAATATCTGATGAAAATACTCTGTTAGAGTTTAAGGGCAGTGAAGTCATTTTTGGAAATGGTAAAACTAATAACCCAGGAATCTTGTTGCAAAACACACAATCTACAAGGAAATGAATACGTGTGGCATAGTCCCTCACCTGTGTTTGGTCAAATTTGGCATAATAAATGCTTTTAGGTGAAGGTGAAGAACACAAATCGACTCATATGCCCCTTGTCATTAACCTGAGAAATTCAGAAGTAGATGGCAGATGTTGCTAAGCTGGTTAATTTATACCCATTACACTAACCATGAAAACACAGTTCCACATAAACTGAATCTAGAAGTAAGAATTTAGTCAGGAGGTCTAACAGGAATGCAGAAGCTGGAACAAAATAGATATACCTTAAGTCCTTAGTTTTCATTTGTCTTTACAGCTAAGCCACAAGCTCTGCAGAGGAAACTGCCTGTGTCATCATTCAACGCTTAGGAGCTAGGAGTCCCATTCATAAATGTAGGTGTGATTTTTGGGGCAGAGTTAATTTTTGCCTTATATTTTCTGCAGGTAATTTATAAGGCTATTTGAACTTTTTATGTCCTCATCTTGAGAAAGTAATGAATTTGTGATTCAAATAAGTTTATCCCTTCAGGCACTCTGTGCCAGTGGGAATGCTCTGCATTATCAGGTCAAGCTCTCAGTATGTGAGTAACCACGAAAGAACTTAGTAAACAGTACCCTAGAGGCAAGCCATACAGGTGTATTTCAATAGATGAGATTAGACAGCTCCACAGCATATCCCAGAGGCAACTCACATTCTCAGATTGTCTGGAGTCTACATTACTAGGGCCTTAAACCTGTATTGTGCTTTATAATGTTCACGGTATTTCAGGTATACTTTTATACTTCAGTCAAAGATTTAAATATAGATAAACTCTACTTTCTCAAACCTTTATCCCAGCCCTGGTCTATATCCTGAGTGCTATTCTATGTATGTGTAGCTAAAAGAAATCTAAAGCAGAGAAGCTAGCACCATACCCTTTGACAAATGAAGAAACTGGATGACAGTTATGCAATTTATCTAAGATCATGTACTTAGTAAATTTCAGAAAGTAGCTAGATCAAGGTTTTCTGACTCTAATCCAGGGTTCTTTGTGTCTAGACAAATTTCTCGCCATTAACCATTCCTCCTATTTCAAGTTCTAGCTTCCTTAGGAAGTGAAGAAACTGGGGGAGTTCTCATCAGGGCCTCTTTGTGAGCGGAAGGATGGCCTTTCCCTTGTCTCTATCATACACCGTATTCATGTTGGCAAACCTAGTCCTGTCTCAGCAAGCCTCAAGTTCCAATCCCCTTGGCTTAAAGTGAGACCCCAAGGGAAATGAAAACCCAAGCTCTGCAAACTGACTTAACCATCACAGTATCAGCCCACTTATTTATTCACTCAACAATACTTATTGAGTATCTCTTGTTTGCCACTTCTCCCTCTTTAGTGGAAAAGTCGCAACCTCTGGAGCTCCAGCCCATCTCATTGAACTGCTTCCAGAACTTAATCGAATTCTGTGTCTTGACCAAGTCAATACCTCCATGCTTTAGAATCTCTGCTAAGTGTATGAATGTCAGCTCGGTAATCTGTAGCTGTTTGCCTCCCCTCCCCTCAAAGTCAAACATTTTAGAAATGTTTCTCTGCTTCCTTACCCCTCATTTATCTCACATTCTACCTTGATGTCATCTTGTAACCTAGCTTCTGCTTCTGTCTCTTCACTGATTTCTTTGATCTCCTCCCTACAGGTTTCTTTGTTTTACTTTGGTCCTCAGCCTCCTTGGTCTATGGAGAAGGTGGCCTTATGAACCTCTCCCTCCTTCTTCAGATTTCTGACATTTTCTTCTTACCTCTCTTTCCATCCCTCGTCAATTGCTTTCACTAACTTACCTTCCTCTTGGCTTACCTTGCTGGTGCAGGTTCTGATCTTGGGCTTCGCCTTCCCAGATCCCAGAGTCTACACCTGACTTGGGTAATCTCCCTCAATGCCTTAGCTTTCCCTACTTCCTCAAATGTTTATCTCCTGCATATATCTATATCCTGAGTGCTATTCTTAACATATTTCACTTGTTTTTCTCAGTCATGTCTGCCCTGTTCAAATTCCTTAGAGAACCTGACAACCCACAACCTAGAAGGGATCACCGTAAAACCCAGGTCAGCCTATTTGCTGCCCTCAGGTGGTAACCTAGCCCTCCTTCCTCCAGGCCAGTTCTATTTTCTCTCCTTGGATTGGAACTGAGATTTAGACTTACAGGTGGAAACAGCTAGGCAAGGAGCTACATACAGTCTTAGGGAGTTGAGCTAAAGTCATCATCATGTCAACCCTAAATCCATTTTGGTGATGTAGTACATAAGCCTAGTAGAGAAGCAAAGGGAAGAATGAAATAGACATGAGGCAAAAACAATCGGGCTGCCTCACTGTAAGATGGTAAGTAGCTACAAACAATTTTCCAGCACATAGCAAGCCCAACTCTACTGCCTGCCATTGGCTTCTACATGGTCCTTCTAGAACGTCCACTAAGGCATGATTTTGTTACCAGCTCAATGAGGCTTCCTGACCCACACAGTCAACCTGTCTTTGTGTATCAGTCTCTGCTTGAGATATCTTCTTGGATGGTCTCTAGACTATTCAAAGTATCAAAAAACTCAACATGTTCAGTATGGAGCCTCTCATTTCCCACACTCTGCAATCCTGCCCCAACCATATTTATCTTGGGGAATTGAACCACTTCTCCTTAACACTACTGTTTAGAAATCCTAAGATCGGCCGGCGCCCAGCTCAGTAGGCTAATCCTCCACCTGCGGTGCCGGCACCCTGGGGATCTAGTCCTGGTTGGGGCGCTGGATTCTGCTCTTCCAGTCCAGCTCTCTGCCGTGGCCCAGGAGTGCAGTGGAGGATGGCCCAGGTCCTTGGGCCCTGCACCCGCATGGGAGACCAGGAGAAGCACCTGGCTCCTGGCTTCAGATCAGTGCAGAGCGCTGGCCGCAGTGGCCATTGGAGGGTGAACCAACGGAAAAGGAAGACCTTTCTCTCTGTCTCTCTCTCTCACTGTCCACTCTGCCTGTTAAAAAAATAATAATAATAAAAGAAATCCTGAGATCAATTAATCTCAGCCAAAAATTTCTTAATGCAACTTTTCCTACCCACCCACCCCCAATATATGAATTGTTTTTGGAATCTTATAATTTCTTTCCTATATTCCTGCAGTAATCTTGTACATTTCTCTTACTAAAAAAGGAATCTCTCGAAATTACAAGGATGTTGATAATCCTGCTGTCTGAAATCCTTCAATGATGTCTTCATCCTTACAAGGAAAAATCCCAAGCTTTTTAGCATGACATTCAAGGCCCCTTGTGTGGAGTCCCCTGCCTACCTTCATTTCATCTCTTGTCACTTTCCAGTATGCACTCTGCTTTCAATCACTCTGAAACAGTGTGAAATCTTTATATATAAAGTATGCTACCTCCCCTCTCTAGCTTCACATTTCTTGATACCTCTGCTCAAAAATGTTTTCATGCCTTTCTTTGTCTCCCCCACTCATCCACACTGTCCTGTTCAGCTGGGG